GCTACTTCAGCTTTGCCTCCCCCCTCCCCTCCCCCCTATCCAGCACGCACGAGCACGCTATTTTAATCGGTTTTATTTGGTTTCGCTTTATCTGGATGCTACCGCGCACTCGACGTTGCTTTTGCATCACTTCCGCCTCTCCGCGCTTTACTTGGATTCGCGCACGCGCGTGCATGCCTATTTCTCCTAGGTCCGATTTACTTTGTTCTTTGCTTTGGTTGTTCCCTCCTTTTCTCCATAGGATGTTGCCCGTTCCTCCGCTTCCTCCTTCGTTTTCCTCCGTTGCTTCGCTCCGCTCCGTTGCGTTCCGCGCCATTCTCTCTTTCCCTTGTTCAGTCCCTCCGCTTTGCTCTGTCTCGCGTGAAGCCGAGGCTTTGGAGAAATCCGAGCCGGATTGACGGCGCTACGTAATTTACTCGTCGTGCAGGGACGAGGCGCGCGCACAGGCCTCCTCCCGCCCTCCCTTCCTCCCCCCTGTCGCTCGCTGCTGTTCACTCTCGCCACCCTCCTCCGCCCCTCCGATTTTACGCAATGCATTTTAATCGCGGATTTAACGTTGCGACCCCGACGGCTCGTTTCGGGGATCAAGCCGGAGAATCGAGCCGGCTGAAGTCACGCGAAGAGAAAGCGCAATCTTAACCCCCGCGGTGACTTCGCGGCGCCCATCTTGCCCTCAGCGATCCCTCCATCCTCCTCTCTCTTTCTCTCTCTCTCTCTCTTTTCTCCTTGGGCTTCTCGCTATCCTCCTCTACTTCTCGCTCCCCAATGTGTCTCGTAATCTCTTCGCACCTGCCTGCGGATCTCCCGACGTTCCGACTACCCTTTCGCTTCTCTCCTTTCCACTTCCAGATTCCCTGTCCTCTCCTGTCCGGTATTTTCGATGCGAACGAAATTTCCCCGCCCCAGCCTTCGAGCGGGCGAAGCCGTTTCCCTCGCCCCCCCNCCCCCCCCCCTCTCTCTTTCCCTCTATCTGGCGAATACGCCCTGCGTGATTTCGCTAATTCCCGACGCTCGACGCGCGTTGTAAACGACGCGGCGGCGCCGTCGAACGAGCGCACCCACGATCTTCACCTTCTCTATAATTCGAGACTGTTCACAGGGGGCGGCGGGAGGATGGAGGGGTCGAAGACTCTTACCCTCCTTCTTGCACACTAGCCATTTCCACCGACTCCGTTCTCCTCCCTCCGTCTCGGCGAAACTCACCCTCTCACGGCCGTCCGACTCTCCCTTCGCGATCTCCATCCGCGCCTCATAATTAAAGTCTGGAGACACCGAGTATTTTCTATTAACATTCCTGGCTAACCCAGCGTGTTCAAAATGACCGCAGCTATTGCGGAATGTTGCGCAGCCGACCGGCCATGTCCGGGATGCACTTGTGCGCAGCTGGAATGCAGCCGCTTTTACCACCATTCCCGGACTATGTTGCAGCGTTTCGTCTGGTTCCTCCTCCGTGCGGAGAAGAAATTTGTCCTTCTGCTTCATATTTAATATCGCACGACGAGCCGTCACGCGCCTCCTCCTCTCCGTGTGTACACGGAACCGTCGAATATTCCGCGGAGCACGGCGTACTTTTCCAGAAGAGAAAGAGGGAGGAGGGGTGTCTATTTTTAACTTTATACCCGATAGAAGTAACAATCTTTTGAACTTTACATATTCGAGGCAGAACTCGCGCCGCCAGAGGGTCGACCGGTAACTTTCCATTGCCGTCGGATCTCTCGCTCTCCGCGAACGATTATTATTATTGATTTTTCCGGGAAGCCGCGCTCTCTCTTGCGCGCGCGCGCGAAACGAGAGGCTTTTGGTTAGCTTCGATCTCACGACCGATTGTTTTTCTTCGCCCGTTGAAAAACTATTTTCGCGTTCGGGTATCGGCGGTCGCTTTGGCGAGCAACTTGCAACATGCGCCTGGCTCTCAGTGTAAACAGTCGCGATTGTTTAGAGGCCTCTTGGGGAAGAGCACTCATCCCCGTTGCGTAAACACACGCCTCTCTAATAAATCGCACGGTTTTATTCGCACCGCCTAACGACGCCTGGGCGGTGTATTTCCGTCATCTTGACGGCCCCCGCACCGGTCCGAAATAGTTCGATATGATTCGTAATATCAGACCGGTCTCGGAGCGACAGCTCGAGCTCCCAGGACGTGTCTGCTTTCGCGACGTAATCTTGTCAATGATGATTAACGAGTGCGCAAATAGAAGCGTACGATTCGCCGTCCGAACGGGAAAGGAGGTGCCGCAGGACAATGTCCTGTGATAATTGCGAGACATCTTGATATTTCTCAGGCGAGCAATGTCCGGGGGATAAGCTTAAGTAAAATTGAACGCCCGTGACAAGAGGAAGCGGTTAATTAAACATCTAAATAATATATATGTATATAAATATATGCTAACATTTCTCGAGTGTAGTTCAATTAAACGTTCCATCCGCAGATACCAAAGTATATACAAAAACTTCCCTCTCCTTCCCTCACTCTCTTCCCTTCTCACGGCTTTTGAAAAACTGCTTATCTTGCAAAATTTTTTAACCTTTTAAGCGCGGAATCTTCACGATTTCTCGAGAAATCGAAAAACGACAGGCCGAGACGAGTGAAATATTATTATTATCGTCGTCGCTCAAACGTTCAGATACGCAAGTATGCGATGCGAATTCGACCGCGATTTTGTCAATCGATTTGTAAAAGATGGCCCCGAGTTAGGTTCGTACGGCGCTCGCATTTATCGCGTAAAACGGCAGAATAGAAATGCGAAAAGAAATGATCAAAACGTGTGCATGTTGTGCTCGAAACAGTGCATGTTGAATGTAACGCCGGAAAAATCTGAGCGTGACTCTTAATAAGTTACCCGAATACCTATACGAAATCGTCCGTAAGGAATGCAAATGCACAACGACGGAGGAGCGCGCGAGCAAACGGGAAGATTCGCGGACGCGCGCGACTCTTCGCGGGACTCCGGGCGCGCGAAATCCAAACGCACTCGCGAATTCGCGAGCCCTAGCCGCGTAATTTATCGCACGCACCACGTTATATCCCCGGATATATACCGCGTCGCATTGTCGCTTGTTTCGAGCAACGAGTTAGATTACCGCCGGTGAACTTCACAACTTAATTCTCTTTCGCATCGTAGCTGCGAATATCAGTCTACCACGATTGCTCGCGAGCTTACGCGCTTTACTCGCCAAAATCTCGGCTCGGCGAGAGCGACTCAAAACTTCGTGCTAAACTCACGTATTACCTTTGTCGTTCGCTTTCTCCCATCCTTCTCCCTCTCTCTTTCTCCCTCTCGCGCGTTTATACTAGACGAGCGCGTTAGCTGCGCACTAAAACGTCGGAAAATTCGTTATCAATTTCTGCTTATCGGGATGTGCCGTCGCTTCCCGAATAAGGACTCATTCATCCGCTCGGACGAGCTCTGAAAGCGCGTGCGAGGATTAACTTGAAATCAGCGCCGCGGCGTGTACTGATTACGAACAATCGTAATTAAATTCTTTCCACGCTAATGACTGCCGGCACTTGAGCTCCGTGCAAATGATATTTAAATTAGCACGCGTCCCGTATACTAATCGGGCCCGAACCTTCTCGCCGCGGACGTGCTCTCTTTCCACCGAATTATTAATTAATATCGCGTTACGATCGCATCAACCTCGCGTGATTCGCCCGGCAAAAATACGGGGAGGGAGGGGATCGGCTGAATAATAATCATTCCGATCATCTCGTTATTTTCTTGCGCCGTTTATACGTCGCACGTACCCGACGGGGATTCGCATCGCCCCGACAGATTTCGGCGCGTATTTAGATAAAGATGTATCTTTATCTTCTCTCTCGACATCTCATTAAGGCGTCCCGAGTCGAAATTTTGATCCTATATTAAACCTTTAATTCCACAACATGGTAAGAGCGAAGATAGCAAAATAGGTTTCAATTGTAATGATATAATAAATCCCTACTTTTTGATCTTGATGATGTCTTAAATTTCCATTTTCGCTGTTATAGCGTCAAAATAAATTGTTGAAGGTAGCAAGAAAATGCAATCTGTAGAATTGAAGGTTCAAGAGAGAAATTAAAAAGTGTCAGTATCGTCAAGGCAGATTTTTATTAGCCTATAGGCCGTCTAAACAGGCACAAACTAACAATCCTTGAGATCATCAAAATAGCATCAAAATTTCGACTCAGGATCGATGAATATTATGAAACATATTTCGACAAATCGATTTACAAAATCGGTCGTCGATAAACCGATATAAGAGTTCGATGCTGAAAAGTTTTAGAAAATTATTGCGAAAATGTATTCATCAAATATCCAAGTGTGGAAGTAATCAAATATGCGAAATACGCGAATATTCGAATACCGGACCCTCGAATGTTCAATATCCGATTGATAAAATATTTAAACGTCCGAATTCCTAATTAAATATGCAAATATCTCTCCCAAATGTATATTACTAGCGTATTTAAATATTTAAAAAAATGCTAAAAACTAAATATCCTCATTTGCGGATATCTAAAAATATTATACGCGATTAATGATAAAGTTTTTCGTTCACTCGTTCGCTCTTAATGAATTATCAGGTTCTCCTTCATCGTATTTCGAAATAGCATAAAATTTGGCCTATTAACGCAAAATTCATATCGCAATGCATCGCACTGATATGTTAATAGCAATTTTCTCTATCATTGTAAGAATCCTCTCTCGTTCTCTTTTTAATCTCTTTTTAGCGGCAGTATCTTAATTTTAATAGGAAAACTTTTCAACTTTATATGCAATAATACGATAAAAAAGAAAAAAATTAATGCTCAAGGACGCGAATTCTTTTTACTCTGAAAATACCGCGTTATTACGAGCGAACGACCAGATATTATGCAGTTAACTTGCGGGGAGAGGAAAATTCGGGTACTTAGGAAAATGATAGCACAAGAGCCGAATTATCATCGCCGCACTTTCTCTTCCGGCGCGCGCTATTCTATTGAAAACGCAAATACAATTAAAGATTCAGTCAGTGCTCACCGAAATCGCTGGAGCAGAGAGGACGATTCTGTCAGATATCAAAATAGATCCATCTACTCTTCTCTCCGAAAAAGAGGGAGAGAGAGAGAGAGAGAGAAAGCGAAAGAGAGGCAGAGATAGGGGAGCAGCGTCTGGATTCAATTCGCCGATTCTTCAAAACTATCGGCCCGCAGATCGATCAACTTCAAGGTCTTATTGCTTCCTGATAATTCCACTCCTATGCCGTCCTTATTGTACTCGGGACTATTCAGACGGCGCTCGTCGGTGCGGTTGGCAGCGCAGGAGAGCGGGATAACCAGAAGCCCCTTTTAAATGTCACGCCTCTTCATCTTAAAGGTCCCGGAGCGAAGGTTGCTCCCTACTTCGACGGGGGATCCGAACGGGATTCTAAGGGAGCACTCGTCGAGAGGATCGGGAGGATCCAACGAAGCGAGGACTCCGCGGAGAGAGAGTTCTGCACGACAAATCGACGAGGATTCGCGCGAAACACCAATTCGGTCCGTCACTCTTCATCAACCTCACACTGCAACTCGGACGGTCTTCTTCCGAACTCTACGGGTACAGCGCGGGACGAAGCTGGGATGGTTACCCTTTTAGAAGCCATAAACTCACGACGGCACGCGGAAATTCGGAGAAAGTCCGGAAACTCCACCGCCACGTGGCGAAAAATCCGCGCGACGTGGAGCGGCTGCGACGGTCCCTTCCGTTCGACAGGACCTCGCGAGTTCTGTTTACAAATCGCACCGGAGATCGCACTTCCGATCTGCTTCTCCGCGCGCGCGTGAGTTGAAGATACGAAGGACGAAGGGTCTTTCAAACTCCCCGAGGAAATGTTCAGTGATCCTGCGTGGAAGAAAAAACGTCGCTCCTCGAGCGTGTTCCCCGGTTGACTCGTCGGCGAGTCCGAGGTCTAAGGTCAGCGGGATTTACCGGAGCTGCCTCATGCTTTTCGTGCGTGCACCAGCTCGCCGTCTCTCGCTCTTTCTCGCGAGTTTCTTTCCCCGCGACTTCGTCCCGCGAATTCTCCGAGATCCCGGAGGGGAAGAGCGAGAGAGTCCCGGCCGAATCAAATCTACCTCGAGACCACCTGGGTCACGAGAACGTCCCGGCGGATCTATAGATCTCGACGCGAGCGACTCGGGACACCGACGGTGACGTTGCTCGTCGTCCTGATGGTTCGATCGCGCGATCCCGGCACTGCGGACGAAGCTGGGACGAGGACGCAGCGACAGCAGACGGACGCGAACTGACAGTACGCGGCGGCGCTTGGTACTCGCGCGTCGCGACGTCGCGCGTCGCGAGTTCGTCCGCCCGCCCGCCCGCCCGCGGCGACCTCTCTAAGCGGCGAGCTCGCCGCGCATATTCCAGAACGCGGAACGGAACGGAACGCGGAACCGGTCGGCGCGACGCGTGCTGCGCGGGCAGTCGAGTGTAAGGAGAGACGACGTGGAAGAAGCTGCGAAGGATGCACGCAACAGTTGTTCGAGCATCCTTAAATTCGAGGGTGCTCCTGTCCGCGTGCACGCTCAGACGCGGAGGTGCTCAAATCTCCGATAAACTCTCACCCCCTCTCGGAAGAAAGATTACACGTGTACGATTACTGTCTTCATCTTCGCTTCGCTTTCTTCTCTTTTCTTGTTTTTTTTTTTAGAGAGACGCGCTGCGTGGAAGAGAAGGGCTATCGCAGCCCCCGATTTACATTCTGTGTGCAGTAACTTGGTTGATAATCAATTTTGAAAATTGAAAACTTAACAATCGTATTCGTCAAACTGTCGTTCGATCGATTCTAGACTCAATGTTATGAAATATTCATGAGGACGTTGTTTAGAAATAGTGTGGCGACATAACGGGTCGAAGAGAAGCAGAGGTGGCTCCCCGCTGAAATAGATAAAAAAATCGGTTCTGCTTAAAAGAAAGAAACATAGTTTCGTTACGAATTTATGTATTTATTCAAAATAAACCCTCTCTTACGAAGACAATGAAACAACAATGAGTATAACCGTGAATTTTTAATGTAAATGTTGACTTGTAGAAAGTAAATATAAACTGTCAGAAGGACAGTTTCTACAAAACAAACTTGTCAACTAAACTTGAATTATTGGCTTATCGAATAACTACTTTGATATAAAAATCTCGAAAAAGAGGCCATACGAAATATATTTCAGTAGAGAGCCACATTAGCAAAATGCTGTGCTATTGTTTAACTTGGCATAATGAAATCGTATACAGCAAAATGTGTACATTACATTACAATGATTGTCATATTAATGAACTTCATTTTGTTTTACCAGTATTTACCAGTACAACAATATTTAATATATAATGAAATAAATATTTTTTATTAGATATACCAAATATTATCTTCTCCAAATAATATTGTTTTTTTTTTCTAACAAACAACATGGTTTACTCTAGTGAAACAATATTTTCATTCGAGCAAAACGATATTTGACATTAAATTATATTATTTATATCAAACAAACGCAAGTCACACAAACACGTATACTAAATCCAAAGAATCCTTTCCCTCTGTGTAGCTTTTCATGAACGCAAATGTCTCTTATTTAAATTCTCTATTAAAGAAAAGAATTATGTATGGTAAATTATATATATATATATATTTTTTTTTTACGCTTTTTTTCTCTCAGTGTCTGTAACGGGGGATTTTTGCGTTGCGCTTGTGAATGGCTTGTCAATTTTGAAATTTATCAGGGCGCGCGAGGGTGGCGTCCTTCTCTCCATTTCTCTTTCTCTCTCTTTCTCTCGAGAACTCAGATTTCGCCGGAGAAGCTCGCTCGAACGTGGTAGAGCCACGGTAACGATTATTTACCGAAAAATGAGTCACACTACGAGGGTTCTTTCAAGTGCGATATGTATCACGGGTGTGTACACGTTGCCGCCGCGCGGGCCGCAAGCAACGGCGCGCATTCAGCACACGTGTACTTACCCACGATCGAAGCTATCATTCGTCAATCTGAGATCTGAGGCAAAAGAACAAGTTGATTCATGGACCGGCGTTTCGCCGAATCGAAGATTAATCATGGACTATAAATCCTCGCGGGGGGCTTAAATGCGGGTCAACGAATATTCTCCGAGATTCGCCGCGGAGTTCCATGCTTATTCATCGAATAACGATCGGCCATCGGTGAGAGATCCCGGAAACATCCTTCCACGCACATTGTGCGCATCGGCCGGGCGGAGAGAAAGAGAAAGAGAGAGAGAGTGCGGAGTTAAATTACATCTTGACCACTGCAGCTCGGTGAGAGGACTCGCACGGACCGGCCAATTCGACCGCCGATCGAAACCGCCCCGCGAATATTACGCTCTCAAATTAAGTCGCCACGAATTTGAATATTGTTAACATTCAATTTCGAGGCGATTCGCTAAACGCGCGCCCCGTGGCCGCGGCGCTAATTACATAACGCTAAATCGCAACAACAATCTGCTAATTCATCTGCGCACGCGATCACCTCGCGATCCTGACACGCGTATCGCGTATCACGTGACTCGCATGGATCACGCCAAACGATCCGGCAAAGTTTCGTGTCCAGCCTGACAGCGCTCAGGCTTTGAAGGTGCGGGCACATGTGTGTCTGTGTGTGAGTGTGTTTATGTGTCCATGAAAACACACATGCACGCGCGCGCGTTGGGCGGTTGGGCGGGTAGTTTCACGTACTAGAGCGCGGCGACGTCGACGTGAAACGAAACGCTGTGAGACATGAGAACGGAATTCCCAACGGGAACATAAAGCCGCGGACGCCCCTTTTCCGGCGGCGTCTCGACGCCTCCGACGCTCGCGTATACGTGCCACGTCACGCGGACGACGCGCGAGATCCGGCTGACAACGCGACGCAACGCGACGCGTTGCGACGCGCAGCGCGTGAGGGGTCTCAGAAAATAGCGAAACGCCACCGGCCGGACCGCGTCCGGCCGCTTCCCCAATAAGGTTCGAGAGAAGCTTTTTCAAAGGACTTGAAACCGTTTTAAAACCGACTGCCCGTGGACAGGAGCTACGATACTCGCGATGTGTGTGGGTGTGTGTGTGCACGGAGGTGCGAGAAATTTATAGATTCGGGGATAATTGTAAAAGCGACGTGAGAAAGTTAGTTCCATGAATGATTTATCATTTTCCGTCGTCCAGCAACCTCGTTAGTAAGTGCGTTTACCGAGTGGAATATTTTTCAAGATAATTCGAGAACTCTTTCTTGCTTAGAAAAGATATATCGAGCCCAACAATGGCCGGTTTAGTAGGTAGTGCTGGCAGAGAGAGGAGAGAGGGAGAAAGCATCCTCTCTCTATGCAAGATAAGGCGCATAAAACGCGGCAGATAAATGTTTCCAGAAATAATGACGACGGGAAAGAATTTCATCAGGCCAAGTCAAACTGTTTTAAGCAGAAAGCCTCTGATAAAAGAAAGGCACCAACAGGGTCATGTGAATCATGCACTCTGTCATGCCAGCCAATCACACAGCAGCTACTGCTTCTCCAACTCTCACCGCTTTCTAACACAAACGCTTTCGAACACAAACACACCATTGTATCCGTACAAGCAGGAACAGAAGCAGAATTGTGTTAGCCAATCATAGAATAGCTGATCACGTGACCCTGTTAGCACTTCTCTCGTAGAGGCTCTTTAGTTTTAATCCTTTGACTGCGACGCGCTAAATAAAAAAGTGCTCGCGGTCGATTCGCCAAGCCAAGATTTCACCGTGTGATACTAAGATAATTCATCTTGAGCATGACGGAGTATTACGTGCATAAGTTTTAATAAGACAAGTGGGGTAAATAATACTTAATATTTATGGTGAGTTTTTGTAGCCACCGCGTCGCAGCGGCGCGCCGTATATAGTCGAACACAAATAAAGAACGACAGAAATATATGGCGCACGCAACAGAGAAGTACTTTTCTACGACGTCATATGCAGTCAAAGGGTTAAAGGAGCTTTTGGATATAGTCCTTTCGTCTATATAAATGCATTAACCTTGAGTAACACTCGCTATCTTGACACTGAAATAACGTTATAGGTCTCACAGGACGATAAAATGATAAAATCGTGGATTTTTGCAATTTCATAAATTATTTACATCTATTAGGTTTATTACTAATTTTTATTTATCGTCTCTGTAGACTGGATGCCACCAGAAAACCAGCTATCTTATTGGATCAAACTAATGATAGTAATATATATATATATAGATATATCAAATTAAACTATATGTTATTGAATATACACAATAATTATCAAGTATATACTGAGACGAATCCAATTTTCTTGATGCATTCATATAGAAAGAAATAGACATATCGAAAAAGAGAAACCCTCAAAATAATTAAACTTTGCCCGATAAAATTTCGTTCCGTCGTCGGAGTCTATTTTCGGAGACATTCACCTGTCGCGCTTTACACACCTCATCCTGTAAATACATTGTGATGGATCGTGAGCAATAAGAAGGATACGAGTAAATCTCCTACGATATTAAATCACACAGCCACGACCGATAAATAAACTTGGAAGAATTCCGGTAATCTGGGAAACAGCATATAAACATTTATATACGACTTCAACTCTTGGCCTCTCGGCCAAGTTCTTGGAATGTCCATCTGACACAACTGTGTTTAATTAAGGGGTTCGAACGTAAAATCAGGTAACTGACATTTGCATAAATGTCAGTTGCTAGAGTTTACCGGGTTTTACCTCCGAAACCCTCAATTAGTTACTTGCTAATGGTTCCCGTCATCTTCGGAGTAGTTTCCCCCATGTAGCAATACACTTAATGAGTTCCTGTTCCCCGCCGTCGGTTTAACAAGTTCAACAGTAATGCCTTTTTCAACGTTTGTTTGTCCCCCGCCGAATTCGACGCGCATCCGGAATTCCCTCTAATAATCTGATCTCCCGACATTTCGGAATTTCCACGGAGAATTCGCGCGTCACGTAATTCTCCACCACGCTTTCTCTCTCTCTCTCTCTCTCTTTTTCTCTTGGACGCGAATTCCAAATCTATATTTGAATTCCCCTCGGATTCGGCCGTAAGTATACCGTATCGATTTTATGATCGCGACATTCGGCAACGGAACAAAACAAAGAAAATGACGGAGGTGACTCAGAGGAGGAGGTGGAGGAGAACGGCGGAGACGGTGCAGGGGTGGCGGAGGGGGGAACGGAGGGGAGAAAGAAATTGGTGTACAAGGGAACGGCCGTCGAAGTAAGGTGCTCCGCAAGCGTAGCCCGTAACTTTGGCCTATCAGGAACATCTGCGAGGAA